CGTCCTTTATCACTTAAAACCCTTAAATCTCGTATATCCCTTTTACTACCGTTTTCTCTTAAAACTCTTATTGCTCCCATATCTCCTAACAGATCGAAAAGACTTATAGGACCGATAATCCCGGGAAGCCCATATTAGGTAGATGATCGACATGGCGGCTAATTGTTACTGCGCCACATCGTTCACCATTTTGTTGACCCATATTCACGTGATTCACTCCACTTAAGACAAACCCACTTGTATGTTGTACCAGTACGATCACATGAATGTGTAACATGAAATGTGGGAGGGATGGTTCCGTTCAACTTTTTTGAAGCCTATATTTTTTCCTATATTGGAAAAAAACCTTTTTTAGAATGAGTAATGGTTTTCGTTTATCCAATTACGGTAGGAGTTAAGATTATAAATATTGGCGCATGTAACATCGTATGATTGTGTGAAACCAGCGCTTCGTATGTTGTACTTAAGTATTTTGTTAGGAATCACATTTATGTGAGAATTAGAGAATATAATATAATTATGGAGAAAATTGCATTAATGTATTGCAATAAAGAGTGCTTTGTAGAAAAATTCTCAGTCACGATGTAATGGCGTGAGATATTTTTTGAAATTATACTTTCCGGATATACATTCGTGCAATCTAATTTCGATTTCATAATTTATTCGTGTGCAACTTCGCACGAATGTTAATTTCAATCATAACGACTGTGGCGACAAAAATTTATGAACCCAACGATTTTCGATTTAATAGCAATTTTTGATTGGCTAGATCAGATGATTTATGATAGTATGTGTGAAACTTTTGTGAGTTTGAATATAGGTTAACCAAAAAAAATCGTGAAAATTTTAATTACATACCGAATAATTGATAAAATAAAAATATAGTTGACTGTTAAATCATGAACTCGTGGGAACATTATTCTGTAGAATTTTAGGATCATCAATTATCGTTATATGCACGGGTAAATATATAATCATCCAAATTACGGAATTATATGCACGAATAAAATAAATATAATCATTATTACGCAACAACTAAACCCGTGTGAAGAAATTTAATAAGGATTTTTTTCCTTATTATATATACACGAATTTAAAATGAAACTCACGCACAGTCTCTAACTCTCAGCGATTACTCTATTTTACTTGCGTAATAAACATTATACTTAAATCATTATGTGCGAATTACCCTCCAATTTACTCACTAAACTTTGGTATCCAAAATTCAAATACATATATAATCAATCGAATTACTTTTGGAAGCAAGAAATTTGATGATACTGTATAATTACTAATCATTTGAAAATAGGCGCTGTGGGCGCCAGCCCTAACTCTTGTGACACTGTATAAAATTTATTGTAAGATATTGTATAAAGTTCTAAGCTTTGTTAAATAAAACATCTTTGAAAAAAAAATGTTAAACTATTTATAATTGGCATCAGAATCTAAATTTATCCTCGATGATGCTTTAGCTTGAAGGTTTATTATCGCAATGTATATTTAAATTTAATAAAATGTATGATCAGGGTGATAAATTCGAGCATTATAATCGTAGTGATCTTTTTCTCAGAAATAATACAATTTTCGATAGAACATAAACAACAATGGTACAAGTAAACTATCACAAGCATAGACAAGAGCAGCAATATAAACGACGAGAAATAAGCCGTATTAAAAGACAGCAAGCCTGTATTGAGAAAGATACTAAAGCAAAAGAAGCTAATATTCCATTACGCATTTTAGAACTAAAAAATGAATTCAATTTATTAAAAAAACAATATGCGAATTGGCCCCAACCAATTGATAAAATAATCGCAAATAATGTGTTAGCAGAGTTTCGAGACAATACCAGTTGCAATAAGTTACGGGAACTATGTTGTGCAATTTGTTCTGGCTTGTTTTCCCAAGAATATTTGACCATCAAAAATACAAGAAAGATACATTTGCCATTGCTTGAAATCAATAAAGCGTTCGAAAGATCATTTTTTGAAATTGACTTTACATACAGACACCCGCATATTGATGGCAGTGACTGTAAAATCTTATTAGATAGGAATGGATTTATTAACCAAAATTCGAATAATAATGAAAATCCGTTTGACCTTCAAGTATGCTATAGTTGTAAACGATCTTTGGATATGAATAAAACTCCACTGTTCTCCCTAGCTAATACGTGGATTGGACCGACACCACCGTGTCTTCAAGGATTAACGATCCTGGAACAACTTTTAATTTCCACAGGCTACTTGTGTATAAATCTTATTCAACTTACTAATCAAAAACATACACACTATAAAGTAAAGGGTCATGTGATTACATTTATGCAATATCCAACTTCTCTTGCTACTATTTTACCTTTACCTATGTACTGACTATGTGATTATTTAAAAGTTGTGTTTATTGGAGAAGGGCAACCGTCAGAAGAACAATTAAAAAAAGTATTACATGTAAGAAAACATAAAGTCGTTATTGCTTTAAACTGGTTAATGGAACATAATGTTTTGTACAAAAATGTTAAACTAAATGAAATAATATTAAACTCTTTACTAGAAAATGAAATACCGATTGCTTTAAAAGCAACTACTGTAGTAGTCAATATTAACCCAGAAGAAATACAACATCATACTGGGTACATGGTGGACCTGGTAGATAATGATGACAACTATGTGGAAGATAAACTCAATAATGAAGAAGAAGTTTTTAACTATAATGAATTGTATAATCCTGTTCTGACTTAAGAAGTTCAGATATGATATATACAGAAATAATCCTATTTCTGAAAATGACCATATATTAAAACTACTCAAGAAAATAGTACAAGAATCATCAAACAATGGAAAGGATTCTTCAGAAGTAATCCTAATACCACATTCAAATAAACCTATAAATAAGTATACTGATTCAACACTTCTTCCTGTTGGAATTCTGGTTTTGTTTCCTTATGGAATTGGTGGCCACAAAGATAAATTTCGCAAACAACACATACTATTTAAACAGTATATTAAGCATTTATTGCAACTTTATGATTGTAAATTTAGATATCATCATTCATTTATTTTTGCTACATTTGATATTCTACAAAGAAAAGACATTGCTTCAAAAACATATTTGATGGCAAAACATGCAAATTTCAAAAGGTCTGCTGAATTAATTTCAGAACTTGTACCACATAATATAAAAATTGCAATCAAACAAGAACAAAATAATCAACCTGTAACTAATAAATTCGTACTTGAGTTATTAAGAAATGTTAATATTGTTGGAGAAAAGATCATGGGGTCACATCAATCATGCAACTGTCTTTGTAATGAAATTCATGCTGTTACTATACAAGATGGTACACCTTTATTATTCTTAACAATTAACCCTACAGATCTTCACAATCCAATCGTGATGATGTATGTAGGAAAAGAAATTGATATAAATGCTTTATTCCTAGAAAATTTCTCTACAGCAACTAAAAGGGTTAGATTAGCTCATCTTGATCCAATTGCGGTAGTTAAATATTATAATATACTTACAAGACATATAATTAAATTTATTCTTAGCTACAGAAGATCAAATGGTGGTGTATTAGATGAAATAAAAAATTATTATGTCGTAACTGAATACCAAGATCGTGGTACACCACACTGTCATATCTTAGTTTGGCTCCATGGAGCTTCCAACCCTATTGAAATACAAGATTGTCTCCAGTATGATAAAGATTTCAGAATACAGTTAATGAATTATGTAAATGAAATTGTCAAAGAAGATATTAGTTACTTATTTCCTAATGGTAATTACATAACTGATAAAATGTTGAATGCTGAGTATAAAACACAAAACACAATGTTAGAAAAAAAAATACACACATCATTTTTACCAATCCCAAATCCTCAAACTCCAACTTTCAATGAAAACTTTCGACTTGACATTCTTGCAATCACAAAACTCACACTAGTTCATAAGTGCACTAGATCATGTAAAAAATATCATCATGGTAAAATGACAAACTGTCATTTTGATTTTCCTTATGAATTAGTTAAAGCACCTGGAAAGATTTATCCAGAACTAGGGATTATTGTTCTTCAATGTCTTAATGCTTACATAAATAATCATAATCTCTACATAACTACCAGTTGCTATAAGAATAATAATATCAAATTTATCGCAACTGTTAAATTAGTGCTAGCATACATCCATTATATCACAGACTATATAACTAAAACTGATATAAATACTCATAATTCATTTCTTATGTATGCCATAATCCTAAACAAATTTATAATGCAAACATCAGATGAATTATCAAGAGAATATGTAATAAAATCATGGCAGTTAATTACAATATGCCTTAATAAAATTATAGAACAAGCTGAAATGACTGGACCCCAGATATTAGCATGTCTTTTAAACATTAATGATCATTATACGCCAAACAAATTTGTTTTGATTTACCTCGATTCTTTTGAAACATATCTAACTTTACAATATCCGATAGAATATTCCTCCAAGTTAACAAATTTAGAAGACCAAAACAGTAACACTGCTAATAAGAAAGAAGCTTATCAAGAAAATGAAATTATTAGTGATGAAATGTTTACAATAGCTAATTCAGGAAATAGAATAACTGCAGATAACTTACAAATTGATTATATGTATTGTGATGACGGATTTTAGATAGGATTAGATAGAATTAATAAACGAATAATAAAGTAACTACAAACTGCAAAGCA